GCGAGAAATCACCCCCCAGAGGGGATGGTCACGCCGCAATCCCTTCTCCTCCATTCTCCTCTTGGGATCTTGGGCACACACGCACACGCGCCCGGCGTGAGTTTTAAGCCACCGGGTCCGGGACGCGAACCACGGTCGACTATGTGGGAGTCCAGCGATATAGCCATTACACTAACTGCTGGTTCCCTCTCGTTTCCCTCTTTTCAAGACCCTATTCTCCAATGCCTTCTCTTTTCAGAATAGTAATTTGCATATTCCAGTTTCAGTCTTTCTTTCTCCTTGGGGACCTCCCCAACTCCAAAAAAACACATTAGATTTCAGGCCCAGGCTCTGTAGTTGCTCAACACAGGATCAGGGACTAGGCTATCTTTCCTGATAGTTTCCTGGGCTGCAGGCCCTGAATCTCCTCTGTTCATTAATGCTGAAGTACCCAGTACACTGTGGGTAGTGAGTGGGGGAGGTGGCCAATAGCCACAGGGCACGGCCAGGGATCCTCAAAATCCTATTCCTTGCTTGCACAGCAGCAGTGCACCCACCCTTCCACCCCTGACCCCAGCACGACATCCTGGTTCCTGGTCCTTTGGGGAAAGTAGGCCATGGTGTCCATCATAAATCCATAGGTCCTGTCACCAAAGGCATAACAGTATGACAGTGCAGGACCAGCACTTTTTGGGGGGAGGCAAAGAACATCATGTGCATGGCGGAGGGTTTGCAGTCAGGTGGTGATAAACTAATGTTACTGAGCTGCAGCCCCCCCAAGTGTTCCCAGTTACTTCTTCCTTGGGAGGAAGAGAGAGAGAAAGAGAGAGAGAGAGAGCGAGAGAGAGAGAGAGAGAGAGAGGTCCCTAGTAGGGCTTCACGCCAGTCCAATCGCAGCCTCAGCCAGTCAAGATCAAGGACACGCACATGTGCCTGGTGCATATGGGGAGCCCATTAGAATGTGAACCTGGACCTTCCCCATAGCTTCAGCATGGAAGTGTAGTGTTTCTGCTGTGCCCTACAATTTGTCTTGACTCTGTCTCTTTGAACCCATCCCAATGGCTGCTTCTGGAGCTCAGGACCCATCCCTGATCCCTGTACACTCTACATCCTCACTTGGCTTCCTGCCTTCATCTACCTTCCATCTTGGTCCACAGGCTGACCTTCCTGAAGCACTATTCCAGCCCAATCCACTTTGTTCCTCCACTGTTGTCTCTAACCCTGCTTCCTGTGCACTCCAACTCTGGCACTGCAGATAGCACCAAGTCACCCTCACACTGTCCCTGCCTGGCCTTTGTTGACCTTATAGCACCTGTCTACTTTCTCTGCAGTCAGTTTTCAAGGGCTAGCCTATGAGCACTGCTTTTGTAAGGCTGCCCCAAATCTCCACTCAGTTAATGCTCTCCTCTTATTATTTTTTTTAAAGAGAGTTTCTGCTATAGAGCACACATGCTTGGTGGAGAGACAGAGAGAGACTAAGAGACAGAAAGCAAGAAATCACACCCTGGGGGGGATGGCCACACCACAATCCCTTCTCCTCCTCCTTCCTCTCGGGATTTTAGGCATGCACATATACATGCCCTGTGTAAGTTATAAGCTGCCAGGTATGGAACTCGAACTGCGGTCGACTATGTGGGAGTCCAGCGAGGTAACCATTTCACCATCTGCTGGTCCCAATATTCTCCTCGTAACAGCTCTGGGGTACCTTGCACAGCCCTCTCTAGCAGCACTCCTCAGTCCATCATGTAATGCTCTGCTCTGCAAAGGGCTTTCCTCTCTGGCTTCATCACATGCAGATCACTGGACATCCATATGGGCGTGAAAAAGGACTCTGACCCATCTCTCATGTATAAAACACAAACTCAATTGCTGAGCTTGGTGGCAAAAACAGTTGCAAACTGAACTACAGTGCCAGAAGCCACATGGCTCACTGAAGGTTCAAATCCCAGGACTGGCTTGAAAACAGGCCAGACACAGGCGTTCCCAAGATCCTGAGGAGCTTGAAGCTAAGAAAGGGGGACTGGGCATGATGAGACCCTACTGAGGGTGCTTCTCTCTCTCATAACGTGCACATGTCCTTGAAAATGAATAAAGTAAACTTTATAAAAATTAACTCAAAATGGATGACGGACCAAATTATAAAACCAAAAACTAATAAACTTTCAGTAGAAAATCT